CATATAGACTATAGATATAGCAAGAGATACTAAAGAAAACGAAAAGTTCCAAAAGAAAGCGAGTGAAATGAAACCGTCTTTCTTTTACCCAAAGTATTGAAAGTAGCAGAAACCATTTTGTTTTCCTCTTTCTCCCTTCTTCCTGCGTCCCTCACCCTTTAAAACGATAACTGATAATGAAAAATAAAAAATTGCTATTGAATGAATCTAACAAATCATTTAGCACCACCAATTGCCAACCTGCAATCTCGAGTCTGCTAACATTCCAAAATTATTAACATCAGTAAAGTCTCCATATAACCTTTTTGTTTCGCTTCATTTCCTCCTCTTTCCCAACCAACTACACATTTCTCATCATCTTTCTTATTGATATATATGACGATAAACAAATTAAACAATGTGCAAGACATACAAAGAAGTAGCAATAGCACCTTCATATTTACCATTTACACTTGCAGCAAAATCTCAAAATATTTGACAAATATCATATGAAATGCACAAAGTTGCTTAGGTGAAATCCGCTACGTGGAGGATCAAAATAGCAACAACATTAGACTGGAGAATTCCCCTTCTTGAAGTGCAATAGGTGTGAAGTTGTCCGTATTGACTGTATTAGAATTAAAGACTGGTGACTTGGATTGGTGACTCGGATGATGATTTGGCATTTAGTCAATTAATATTGTTGTAACCAATTCAGGTTGTTAGGATTGATTGTTAGAGTTAGTTAGCACATAGAGGCTATATAAGCCAATTACTGGTGTAAGAATCATTCAATCAAGTGTATCATTTCCTTCAGAAATACAAGCTATCTCAATTCATTCTTCTTCGATTTTCTCTTTGCTTCTTCCTTTCTATTTGTTTCCAGTTCTGTCATGATGGTATCATCGCCGAGGTATGATCTATGGTGCGTCTTCCGTTGTGTCTATCTGCAGTGAGTGGGGTTCTCTGAAGCTCTTGTTCAGTGATTGGTGATTTGTGCTTGGTGTTCTTCAATGGTGCACTTTTCTGGGTGATCTCAGTTTTTCAGTCTCTATTTCAGAAATTATGTCGATGAACTGTTTGTTAAATTGTCACAGTAAGAATTTTAGTTGAAAATTGATGATATTCAAGGCCGATGCCATGTCTGTTGAATGAGGGTGAAAAGTATTAGAAGTTGAAAGATTACAAAGGCCGAAGCCAGTCTTTCTTACATACAAGTTGTTTTTTTTTTTGGGGTTGATCTTCAAAAAGTTTTCTGGATTTCTTTCTGCATTTCTTAAAGCTGAAGTGCAGTTTTGATAAGCATTGTTGAGTTCTTGTTTTCTGTTGTAGTGTTGAATTCTTGGTTTATCTTGAATCTATTTTGGGTGTTTCTTGATTAGTCAATCATGTCTGATTCTGTGAAAATTGAGGGGTTGTTAGGGATGTTGACTGTGAAACTTCAAGATGACAATTTTGTCAAATGGAGCTATCAATTTCAATCAGTACTAAAGGGTATGATTTGTTTGATCATTTTACTGGTGATTTGCCATGTCCACCTAGATTTGTGATTGATACTGAGGCAGGTATCACAAACGAAATTACAGTAGCATATAAGAATTAGGTCAAGAAAGATTTGGCGTTGCTCATTTTATTAATTGCTACTCTATCGGATGATGCAATGGAATATGTCATTGGATGCAAAACTTCACATGACGCTTGGACTTCTTTGCAAGAATGGTTTGCATCTATATCTGTGGTACGGGTTAATCAATTGAAAACTGAGTTTTATTCTTCACAGAAAGGTGGGGAATCTGTTGAGAAGCTTATGCTGAAACTAAAAGGTATAAAAGATCAATTGATTTCGGTTGGAGAGAAAATCACAGACAATGATTATATGATTGCTGTATTATATGGATTGCCTGTGGAGTTTGAGATGATCAAGACAGTAATTCTTGCTGGGGAAACAGCAATGTCTTTAAAAGATTTCAAGGCGCAATTACTTGGTGCTGAAGCAAGTATTGAGACACGAATTCACTCGCTGAGTTCTTCTATGGCTGCAATGGTGGTGCAAGGTGAAGGGTCTAATTCACAAAGATTCCGGGCAGTTTATGAACATGGTGAAAGTTCTAACTCTAATGGGGATTCTTATCATGAGAGTCAATCTAATGTTTCAGGAGGCTCTAGTTATGTTGGCACTAGAAATAGATCGTTTCAACAGAGGAATAATGGGCAAAACAACTATTACAGGAGGTTCAATAATGGGAGCAATAATTCAAAGTCTTACTCTGGAAGTTATGGCAACAGGAATGGGAATTCAAATGATGGCAATGGAAGTAGCAATTACTCTGGCAATGGAAAGCAATCTCAGAATGGTAACTCTTGGAATACAAGAACTAACTATTGACATGGGAATACAAATTATAAGTCCTCGGTTTCTCCAGAATGTCAGATTTGTTCAAGAAGGGGAAATACGGCTCCAAATTGCTACTACAGAGTTGACAACAGTAACACACAATCTTTTGGTGGTTTTATAGTTTGTCAGATATGTGGAAAAAAGGGTCACATCGCGTTAAAGTGTTATCATAAAAACAATTTTTCCTATCAAGGTGCTCCACCATCATCTTCATTAATTGCAATGACTGCACAAGGACATATTGGTCAGCAAGATGCATTTGCATCAACAGCTTATGATTTCTTAGCTGCTGAGACTTGAATTGTGGACACAGGGACCACACATCACATGACCGCCAATATGAATGCAATAAATCAAGCTACACCTTACACTGGAAATGAAAAGATTGTTGTGGGAAATGGTGAAGGTTTGGCTGTAAAGCATATTGGGTCCTCTATTATTCCTATATCGTCGAATCATTCATTAAAATTGCACAATGTGTTGCACGTTCCAATGATTACTGTGAATTTGCTCTCAGTTAATAAATTATGTAGAGACAATGCTTGTTGGTTTATATGTGATGATCTTACCTTTTTTATATAGGACAAGGCCACAAGGGTGATACTATACCAAGGAAAGAGTGATGATGGGGGGTTATTCAAGATTCCAGTGAGCACTTTTTCAGGATCAATTGCTGCGAAGTTGAGTAATTGTGCTGCTTTTTTGGGGAAGACAGTTCAACAGTCAGTTTGGCACCAAAGACTTGGACATCCATCTCAAGAGGTCTTGACTGCAATGTTGACATATTCAAAAATATCAGTTAGTACAAAGTCTAATGATTGTATTTCCATGTGTTCTTCTTGTATCAAAGGCAAAATGTGTAGGCAACCATTTCCAATAAGACAAACTAGAGCTAGTAGTCTTTTTGATAAAGTCCACACTGATGTATGGGGTCTATCTCCAACAAAGTCTATAGAAGGGTATAGATACTATATGAGTTTTGTAGATGAATATTCAAGATTCATGTGGATTTTTCCCATGATGAATAAATTAGAAGCCTTCAATATTTTTGCCAAGTTTTATGCGTTTGTTTTGAATCAAGTTTGGGATAACTATAAAGTGTTTACAATATGATGGAGTTGGGGAGTATATGAGCAAACTGTTTAGTGATTTTTTGGGGTATAAAGGCATCAAACACATGGTTTCATGTCCTTATACTCCTCAGCAGAACGGTCTTGCTGAAGGGAAGCATAGACATGCGGTGGAAACTGCATTAACATTAATGGCTGAAGCAAATTTGGAACCTAAGTTTTGGTATCATGCTTGTGCACATTCTACTATGTTGATTAATAGAATGCCATGCCGAGTTCTTCAAATGCAATCTCCATATCAGTGTGTGTTTGGAAGAGTACCAAAATTGTCTCATTTTAAAGTTTTTGGCACTGCTGTCTATCCTTATCTTAGACCATTTAATGCCAATAAATTACAACTCAGGTATTCTCAATGTCTTTTTCTGGGTTATTCAAATGGTTACAAAAGAGTAGTTTGTTACAACTTACAAACTGGCAAACTGATTATATCTAGACATGTTATACATAATGAATAAGTTTTTCCATATCAGAAGTCATTTGCAAAGCTCAGATTTACAAAAGCCTAGACAGGTTCCAATATTGGTACAACTACCAGTTATGGAAGATAACAATTCAGAATCCTTGTCACATTCTAGCTCAACTCAAGACAGTCAACAGAGTCTTGTGCATATTAATGCAGGTTAGTCTATATTTGAAATTGAGACCATAAGTTCTTCAGTATATCACATTAAGCAACATTGAACACTCCTCATCATCATCACTCTATTCCAACTTCTTCCACATCACCCTTGTTGCATGTCCATCACAGCTCACAATTGGAGGTAATTCTTCCTATCTCAGCACATGATAATACAAGTTCTGAGAATTCTACATATGTGCTAAATTCAAATTCTCAGCATCCTATAGTAACAAGATTGAAAAGTGGAGCAAATTCAAGGGCAAATTATGCAGCATGTTTGGTGACATTTCCTGAGCTTCATACACTGCAATTAACAGAAGATGAACCATTTTCTAAGGGGTTTTCCTTTGTTACTCAAGTCACTGATATTGCAGAACCATTAAGTTTCAGGAAAGCTTTGTGCATACCACAATGGCAACAAGCAATGTAAGAAGAATATGATTCTTTGAGAGCACAAGGAACTTGGGAATTGGTTTCTCCGCCCAATGACATATCCATAGTAGGGAGTAAGTGGGTGTACAAAGTGAAAAAGAATGCAGATAGGAGTATATCAAGATATAAGGCTAGATTGGTTGCACAAGGGTTTTCTTAGGAGCATGAAGTGGATTATTCAGGGACTTTTAGTCCTGTTGTAAGACATACAACAATGAGAATTATTTTGTCTCTTGCTGCAATGAATCATTGGTATTTAAAACAATTGGACATCAAAAATACATTCCTTCATAATGACTTTCAGGAGGAGGTCTATATGAATCAGCCATAAGGATTCATTGATCTTTCACATCCCAATCATGTTTGCAAGTTACTCAAGTCTCGATATGGGCTTAAACAGGCACCAAGAGCCTGGAATTCAAAATTTACTAGTTATCTAGTTACAATGGGGTTCACAGCTTCATTATCAGACACCAGTTTATTCACAAAGAAGGATGATAATGATATTGTGATTTTATTACTCTATGTCAATGACATTATCCTTACATGTTCCAACACTTCAAAGATCTCAAAGATCAATGCAGCAATACAAGAATTGTCTGAAGTATTTGATTTGAAAGATCTTGGAAGACTTACATTCTTTCTCGGGCTACAGATTCACTATAGGGATAATGAAGATATCTTTGTGAATCAAACAAAGTATATCAAGGATCTTATACACAAAGCAGGTTTGAAGTCATGTAAACCTACAACAACTCCCTACAAACCTCATAATTCGATGCTTGTGACGGAAGGCAAACCATTGGTTGATCCTAGTATCTACAGAAGTATTGTGGGGTCTCTACAATATTTGACATTCACAAGGCCAGACATAGCCTTTGCAGTGAATTCGGTATGTCAATTCATGACTTCACCAACTGATGATCATTTAACAGCAGTGAAACGCATTCTGAGATACTTGCAAGGTACAATTGAAGCTGGTATTTGCTATTCTGCAATTGCAGCAGTAAGCTTAAATGCGTTTTCAGATGCAGATCTTAATACCACACGATCAGTGACAGGTTATGTAGTTTTCGTTGGAAATAATCTTATTTCTTGGCAGTCAAAGAAACCAAATTCAGTTTCCAGAAGCTCCATAGAAGCTGAGTACAAAGCATTAGCTCATACAGCTGTAGATATTACATGGGTGAGATATAATTTAAAGGATTTGAATGTTTTTCTTCCTCATCCACCTGTGATCAGTTGTGATAACATGTCTGGGATATCATTAAGTGCCAATCTTGTATTTCATTCGAGGATCAAACATTTGGACACATATTATCATTTTGTTCGAGAAAAAGTACAACAAAGTGATCTGGAGGTGGTGTATATTCCTACAAATGATCAAACCGCTAATATTTTAACAAAGGGATTGCACAGTCCTACGTTTGTTAAGCATTGTTACAATCTGTAACTAGGAAATCCTAGTTGTGATTGAAGGGGGATATTGATTGTAATGGTGACTTGGCAATCAACTAATGACATGGCAATATTAGAATTAAAGACTGGTGACTTGGATTGGTGACTCGGATGATGACTTGGCATTTAGTCAGTTAATATTGTTATAACCAATTCTGGTTGTTAGGATTGATTGTTAGAGTTAGTTAGCACAGAGAGGCTATATAAGCCAATTATTGGTGTAAGAATCATTCAATCAAGCGTATCATTTTCTTCAGAAATACAATCTTAATTCATTATTCTTCAATTTTCTCTTTGCTTCTTCCTTTCTATTTGTTTCCAATTCTGTCATGAGTCCGCTGGGTAAAGTCGTTAAAATTTTATGGAAATTAAATACGAAATTTAGGCCGAAGATATAAAATGGGAAAAATAAAAAAAAAGAAAAATGGGAAAAATGTTTGTTTGAAGAAATTGTTCGTTGGGTAAAGTGTTAAATTTTTATTTTAATATTTGTAATTAGAACAATATTTAATTTAAATAGTTTATTTAAATCTAATTATATTAATTGAAAAAGCTAACATAAATCACAACTTACAAACTTTATTTAATTATATTACTAGCCTATCCGCACGCACTAATGTGCGTGTGAGAGGCATTTTTGCGTCACGGGCGCTACGCGCCCCTAAAGGTGTATTGTGTTAGTTTATTTTTTCCCATTGTAATTGTTAAGATATATTTTAAATGTATTGTGCAAAGAAGAACTTTTACTTTAACATGCATGTCCTAAAAGGTTGTCATGTTTTTCATTTTCACTTTGCTTAAAGTAATGATTTAAATGTTATTCATGCAATTGTCAAACAACATGGGATTTTGGATGCAAGTTCCTACCTAAAGTCCATGAACAATAGTAAGTAGATGTAAATAAAAAAAAACAGTAGATGAAAAGTACTCATAGCAAAATACATAACAACTTAAATGTCAAAATTTAAAACATACATCACAATATGTACATTATTCACAATACCCATAAAGTCTATATGTCACTGTTTCTTTTGAAAAGAAAGTTTACATATTGACATCAATGCTGCAATTTCCACTCATTTGTTCATGATTGATTAGTTTGCTCTCCATTGTACAGGGTGAAATATTTTTGTATCAGATATGTCAAGCAACAGATGGGGAAAAAGATCCTCATTGTTTAATGTCAACATTTCCTATTGCACTAATGAGATATGTTTCTTGTCGAGTTAGCTTAATGTGAATGTCTCTAACTTATATACGGACATTATATAATTGTCAAATATTTAAAGGGTTTTTATCACAAATGGTCCCTGAAATTGACTCACCCCATCAAGATGGTCCCTGAAATTGAAAATCAATCAATGTAGTCCCTGAAATTGGGTGTCGCAAATCAATGTAGTCCTTCCGTCTTAACTCCGTTAAAAATCCTGTTATGTGATGATGTGGCAAGTGACGTGGCACACTTTGTATTAAAAACTAATAAAATATTATTAAAAACTAAAAAAATATTATTAAAAACTAAAAAAAAATCATTTAATAAATTTTTCTTCTTCTTCTTCTTCTTCTTCTTTTTCTTTTTGGGTTGCTGCAAACTTAGTGGTTTTTTTTTTTTTTTCTTCTTCTTCTTCTTCTTCGTCTTCTTTTTCTTCTCTTCTTCTTTCTAGGTTGCTGCGAACTTGGTCTTCTTCTTCTTCTTCTTCTTCTTCCTTTCTTTGTGGGTTGTAGGGGGTGGGGGGGGGGGAAGACGAAATTGGGGTTTTTTTTTTCCTTTCTTCTTCTTCTTCGGGTTGCAGGGGGTGACATTTAAAAAATATTAAATGATTTTTTTTTTAGTTTTTAATAATATTTTATTAGTTTTTAATATAAAATGTGCCACGTCACTTGCCACATCAGCACATAACAGAATTTTTAACGGAGTTAAGACGGAAGGACTACATTGATTTGCGACACCCAATTTCAGGGACTACATTGATTGATTTTCAATTTCAGGGACCATCTTGATGGGGTGGGTCAATTTCAGGGACTATTTGTGATAAAAACCCAATATTTAAGTCAGGCATTTGGTTGGAGCATAATTCTTTTAATTTTGTTTAGGATTATAAGGGAGTGGGAATAGATGAAATATGGGATAGAGTTGATACTGGGTAGCTTTTTGAGCATCGGTTTCGAATGTGAATACAAATTGGAAATTTATATTCATTTAGAAACATAAAGGTGTAAATTGAACAAAATAACAATCAAGTTTGTATGCTAACATGATTAGGTTACGTTTTCACATCGAATTGGGGTTCAACATTAGAAGTTCTTTTCTCAAGTCTCCACATTTAGCAAAATGAAGAAAACAAAAGGCCAAAAGCAAAAAGCCACCTCATCCGCTGTAATCACCTTCCCTTTTCTTCAAGGCTCACTGCCAACAGAAAATCTATGGCAAGAATACACTTTCCCCCCTTCTTTTTCTTTGAGCCTCGACAAATGGGTCTACAACCAATAAGTGTGTATGACAAATGGGTCTGCAACCAATGCCAACTTAAATAATTGAGGTTAAGAAGGAGGAGTTGATGAAGAATCGGCCAAGAGAAGACCATGCTAAGCCAACTGAAATAATTGAGGTTATTCCTGACAACTCTGAATATTACATCATAAAACAGTTAAGCTTATTTCAGTACATCTTTTTCTACTAAATAAGAAATGGCTATGTCACAACTGTCCATATAATTTAACTGAAATGATAAACATGTTCTGTAAAACCAAGATTTTTGAAAGTCTAACTAATTGGTCAAATAGTGTCAAACATAATAGTATTTCTCAAAGTCATAGCACGTCATAATATTAAGCTGAAGAGTAAGAATACATATATGACATTAAATTGAAAGTCTAACTAATTAAGATGATCATAATAAACATGAGGCACTGTTATGCAAATATAACAGGGCTGCAAACCAATTGGTAAAAGCAAACTTTTATACGAAAATAAAAACAAAAAATTCAGTTAAATAAGCATCAGCATGCACTCCATAATTGTTTGTCTCTATGTTTTTTATGTCAGTTTGTATGAAAATGATTTGGGAAATTATAGGAGTGCAAAATGGATAGAACCAAGAACTGAAATCAAGAGAAAACACACATCCAATTTGGTGATGGTAAAAATGGAAAAGGGATATGATCAAATACCTGATCGAATCACTGGCGAGAGAGCTCCGATTTCAGAACGGAATTTTTCAGGGCTTCCACTTTGTAGTCCCAATCTTGTTCATGTATCTGCAAGGAACAAAGAAAATGAAAAGAGTGAACAATTAGAACTGCACTTGGGGATTTTCCCTACCTTAATATCCTAAACCATTTCAAACTTCACTCATCCAAAATCATCCAATTTTTTTCAACATAGTGCTATGTCGGTTTCTTTTCTCTCTTAATTGATGATTTGTGAACCAATATGTATTAAGTTGTGTTGCCTTACTTTAAGCCAAAATTGAATTCAATCTACAATAGAGAAAGGGAAGCCAGACTTATGGGGACATGGTGATGAAAGATTTGATGATGCTGACATTATTGATACAGGAGAAGATGGTGTTGTTTCACGGGGAACTTCAGTTAAGGTCCTACTAGTTATGAACATTTCTATGGTTTAAAGACAAATTAAAAGTTATTAAGTTCATAAATCTAGGACTGGAAAAGATAACCATAAAAAATAATAGACGATAAGAAACACTTGCCGTAAAAAAGTAATATTGTTGGTCAGCTTGTGAATTCCCTGAAATATCCCAAATTCATAAGAGCTATATAAAATTTGGAGTGCCTGCACATTGTAAAAACCGAATTGCCCAAAGAAATAAGCATAGAAAAGGCAAAGTAGCAGCATAACTAATATGGAAACATGTAAGCTTGGGTTTGCCTTTCAATGAAGAAACTCAAGTCCAAGTTGAATGAAACACAGAGTGACAGATGCCACCAAGTTTAGTTTACCTGGCGATTATGCGCCACCAAGTTTACTCTTTCATCAACTTTAAGAGGAACTGCCGCTAACATTCAAAAATTAATAAAGGAATCCTCATGTATAAAGGAACGGAAAATACATTAGATATAAACGTTTCCTTTTCAAAACCCATTACCAAAATCCTTCACAGTTCATACCACTACTTTCCTAGCAGTTGTTTCGTAATGTCCGTCACTTCCGCCAGAGATTTATCACCAGTTCGTACGAACTCCAAAATCTACAACACACAATCACATTAGATAAAAATGTGTTATTTAGAAAATCCTTTTCCAAAATCTGCTAAAAGTTCATAAATTAAAAAAAAAGATCAAGTTTTGGCGCAAAAGCACACATGTACGACATTTTCTTTTCCCTAAAAGTATGATCTCCTGCCATTTTTCTATCGATAATTAAGCATGGCATATGTTTTGATTGAATTGGTGATGGTAAAAATGGAAAATGAAGACATCAATACCCGCTCGAATCATTGGCGAGAGAGCTCCAATTTCAGAGCGGAATTTTTCAGAGCTTCCACTTTGTAATCCCAATCCTTTTCACGAATCTGCAAGGAACAAAGAAAATGAAAAGAGTGAAAACTAGACTTGGGGATTTTCCCTAGCTTTATCATCAGCCATTGCGTAAAATAGTCACCATTCCCAAATTAACGACAGGAAAAAACCCAAAAATAAACCATGGTTTTTTAAATTGGGAAGTTGGGTACCGGGAGAAGATGATAACCTCCAATATCTTAAATCACATAAAATGGGGGATTTGGTGGCCGGACCTGCAAATTGTAGTATTTTGTTGATCCTAAATCATCGTTTCCCCAAAAGCACCAAATTGAAAGGTGGATGAAGAAGAAGGCCAAAAAAATAAAAAACGATTTGATAGAGGAGGTACCTGCAAATTGTAGTACTTTGTTGATCCTAATTCATCATTTCCCAGAAGCATCAAATTAAAAGGTGGATGAAGAAGAAGGCCAAAAAAAAAACACGATTTGATAGAGGGGTCTGTGCAGTTTCGTTTCTCCCTTTTGTATGAACAGTTGGACTGAGTGACCGGTTGAAGCCTTATGAACGTCTGGTAATAGGGTACAGTTTCCATCGTGCAACGCTGCAACCGCTAGTGTTGGATGGTAGTTTCCATCATGCAAACTCTGGAACCGCTTGAGTTCGCTGTGTTTAGGTCAGGTTTGGAGTGAGGTGATTAAAAAAAAGGCAACTTTAACGAAAAGCACCCGGTACTGTTCACTTTAACGAAAAACCACATTTTTACACTAAAAAGTCAATCCTGGTACTATTCACTTTACCCTTTATTTTGTCCTTATCATTAAAACTCAAAGTTTTCAAGCCATTTTCATTAGTTTTCCTTAAAAAAAAAGCTGGGGTGAAAAAAAAGCTGGTAGCAATTTTGGTGTTTGGTAAACTTTGGAAAACAGCTTTATTTCAAAGTTGAGGATGAAAAAAAGCCCAAATCCTGAAGCTGATCAGAAGCTGCAAATAGCAGCTTCAGAAAACAGCTTAGTTTCAAAACACGGAGCTATAGTAATTCTTTTAATGAAAATTTCAAATTACCAATGTTGCCCTCGTTTCTCTCTGCCTTCTCTCTCGCACGCCCTCCTGGAAATCTCACATTCACGCCCTCTTCTCTCGCACGCCTCCTGAAATCGCCCTCTTCTCCTCTGTTGCCTGCAGCTGCACCTCTTCTCCTCCTCCTCCTTTTCCTCTCTCTCCGTCGGTCTCAGCGCCAGCCGTCGCCTTCCCTCCTTCTATCGCCGTCGCCTTCCCTCTTTCCTCTGGTAAATTTCTCTTCTCTAAAATTTTGTTATTTATTTGTTTGGATTTTTTAATTTGGGGATGGGGAGAGTGAAAGAGGGGTGGGAAAGAGCAAAGGGATGAGTGTATGGGTGTCGAGAAAACTGGGGATGGAGAAAACAATTGGGGAAAATTGGGGAAAAAATTTGGGTTTGTGGAGGAAACAAGAAAATTTGAGAGACAAGAAAATTTGTGCGCTGGGGAGAATGTGTATGTTGTATGATGTATGCTATATGTGCAGAGTGTTTTGTGTGCTGGGGAGAATCCGGTTGGCTCACCAAAACAGAAAAACGGGTTTAGTGGTAGATTCATGTTTAGACCCAATTTTTAGATTATTGAATATATATGTCCAAGAAATCTTTGTGTTAGTAAGATTCCGAGAGTAGCAGTAGATTTCATTATCTTCTTAGTTAAGCGGGAACGGGCGATGAGGTTGGTAGTCGAAATTTTGGGTTTTTTGTTTTCCGTGCTTAATTTTGTTGCATTTGTTGTGACCAACTGGAGTCAATAAGCGATAGCTTCTTACGGGATAACACTTGTTTCGAATTCATTGATATCTATGATTGTGAAAATATGTACTGCCTATATTAACTCAATGTGAAGTTTTGGTGGGGAAGGTATGGATACGATGGTAAATGAAAATCGAAATTCACATTTCTATAGTTAGGTTAATGGAGAGCTCAATATTGGTGTTATACTTTTTGAAAACTAACACATTCATGTTGTGAACCTTTGTTATGAAGCCAGTTGTTTAAGAAAGTTATGGTTTATGGTTAATTTAGTTTCAGATGCTGTGTTCTGCAGCCCATCATGACTTTTAATTCCTAGTTAATTTAGTTGGAGAACCACACTAGTTGTGCTTTACTTTGAATTTTGCTATGATCACTTAAACTATATGAGCAATGATTCACATGTGGTGCAATATTTCTGTCTGCTTGTTTTTTCCTTGGTGGTTCCCATTTTTGGGCTGCATCAACATGGCAAGAGTTTGTCACTCACCATTCCCCTCCCCCAAATAAAAGGAAAAAGTATGTGGACCTAAATGCTTATTTAGTCGTTTGCTGTTAACCACTAAAGTTTTTCATTAAAAAGAATAGATCAATACAGGGGCAAAGTTGCCCACAAATTTATTGTCTTTTGTAGTGATTCATATGTGAGATTGAGTTCCTAATTAAGAAAGAGACAGAAAAGGGAGGGAGTGTTCTATGTTTGGTTTGACTGAGACTTGTACACCTAAGCTTTGTGATTGTTCTTCCGTGGAGGTCCATTTTTTTCTTCTACTTCCCTTTTAATTTGTATTGTTGCTGATTTTAATTTGCCTTTGTGTAATGGAATTCCTGAGCATGCTTTTGATTGCTGCTATTTCTCATTTTTGGTTCAATTGTTACATCAATTTTTCTTTTGTTCTCTGCTACTTGGTGATCGTGAGATGTGAATTGGGAATTTGAATTTGTTTGTGTGTTTGTGTGAGAGAGATATTGGAAGCTTTGTAGGATGTGTAGACAAGTATATGTATAAGGATCGATTACAACGAAACCAATATGACAGTGCTTAAAACGATAATCGACTTTATATGATGCAACTGCATCTCCATATCAGAGATGCAATTGCTGTCAGTTTGTGTAGGTTACAACTGCCTTCTATTTGAATTGATAACCACCTTTAGTTTTCCCTCTAATATAGAATTAATCCGGTGTAATTCATATAATTGAGTCCTTACATAATACAACCCTTTCACTTGTATTGTGTATCTGCACTGTGGTTTAAATGACACTCACATATAAGCAGCTTTAAGCACAGATTGAAGCTCCAACTAGTTGGTATTGATGGCAAACAAGGTGGCATCTTCGTCAAATCCTACAGCAATATGGAATGCTCACAATATATCTATATTTTGTGATGTATGCATCAAGGAGGTTGAGGCTGGACATCGTCCGGGCACTCACTTTGACAAAAATAGTTATGCAAATATTAGAGCTAACTTTAAGGCAGAGACAGGGCATGATTATGAAAGAAAGCAACTGAAAAATAAGTGGGATGCACTTAAAAATGAGTGGAAGTTGTGGAAAGAGCTAGTTGGTAAAGAAACTGGCCTAGGGTGGAATTCGAGCAAGGGTACCGTTGATGCCTCTGAGGAGTGGTGGAATAATAAAATTAAGGTTTGTGTATTTATCTTTTAATATTATGATATCATGCAATATGTATTAACCATATTCTTTCTTACTTGTAGATAAACAAAGAATATGCAAGGTTGCGAAAAAAGGGAATTAGTCCTGAGATGGAGGACAAGTTAGATAGGATGTTCTCGAACACAGTTGCTACTGGTGAACATGCCTGGGCACCTTCATCTGGGATACTACCACCAGAGACAAGAGAGGAATCTATAGGACAAATTGATTTAGATGATTCGGAAGAAAGTGAGACCATGCAGGATCTAAGGCAAGCTACTAGGAAGGGAAAAAAAAGAGCGGCTAACCAAGGAGAATTGCAAAAGAAGAAGGTTGATAAGAAAGGGAAAAAAATTGGAGGTGCTGCAAAACTTTGTGGTCAAATTGACCATCTTGTTGAAGTTTATGAAACTAGGAGTTCTGCAAACTCATTGATGTCCAAACTGCATATAGGCAATAGTATTCCGGAAGTGTTAGCGACTATTGCACAATTGCCTGGTTGTGAGCCACCTAGCGAGTTATGGCTATTTGCTACATGTTTATTTTGTAGTGCAGAGAAGCGAGAGGTGTTTGGCATGATGAAAGATCTTGAAGTCCAACTAACTTGGTTGAAATATATGTTCAACAAAGAAAAATAAGGAGCTAAAACCCTAAAACTATGAATTAGGACTATATATGTGGTTTGTACTTTGCATTAAGATTATGTATTCAACCTTGCTACATGTTTATTGAATGTTGGATTATATTTTGAATATTGAATTATGATTTCTTGTTAAATGTTGGATTATGACTTGTTCATGAATGTCGGATTATGAACTCTTTATTGATTGCTGGATTATGACTTATGGAATGTTGAATTATGTGTTAGGTTACAGGTGTACATTCAATATGAATACCTCTGATGATGATGTTCAGGATTTGGAGGATGATGTAATTATATGCGCTGTAGCGAGAGCTGTTGAAACATATTATTTAAAATATGTCCACAAAACTCCGTGTATGAATTCTTCCCAAACAGATAATATTTGGTTGATGGAAGTACTACGAGGAAATGATGTGCGATGCTATAGAATGTTTAGGATGAACAAAGATGTCATTTATAGATTATGCAATGACTTGCAAACTAATTATGGATTGAAAGGTTCAAGGAAAATGAATGCAATTGAAATATTAGGAATGTTCTTGCATATGTTGGGACATGGTGTGAAAAATAGATTAGCGCAAGAGAGATTTCAACATTCTGGTGAGACTGTTAGTAGATATTTTGGTGTTATGTTAGATATCGTATGTAAGATGGCAATATATATTATCAAACCGATGGATTCGGAGTTTCGTGGCATTCCCCAAGAAATAAGGAGAGATACAAGATACATGCCTTATTTTAAGGTAAAGTTTGACTCGTCTTCTAATTTATTTGTAAACTATAAGTGTTTGCAAACTATAAGTGTAGGTTGACGGTTTTCTTCTATGTTATTATTTTTAGGATTGTATTGGTGCCATAGATGGAGTACATGTTGAGGCTTCAATACCACCTCCGGATGAAGTTCCATACATTGGTAGGAAAGGAATGCCGACTCAAAATGTTATGGTTGCATGTAATTTTGACATGCAATTCACATTTGCTTGTGCCGGATGGGAAGGCACTGCACATGATACAAGAGTTTTTTTATCCGTGCTACAGAATCCAAATTTAAACTTTTCAAAGCCTCCAAATGGTAATCATCATACTTATTTATAACAATTTACATACTTGCTTTGTATAATTATTACAATACAAAACAAAATTTTCAATTTTCAGGAAAATATTACTTGGTAGATGCGGGGTACCCACAAATGAGAGGTTATTTGGGACCATATAAAGGTGAAAGATATCATCTTCCGGATTTTCGTAGGGGTCCCGAACCAACGGGTCATAAAGAGGTGTTCAACCACATGCATTCTTCTCTTAGGAGCATCATTGAACGAACTTTTGGGGTATGGAAGAAAAGATGGGCAATTTTAAGAGATATGCCTAATTACCCGTTCAATAAGCAAGTGAAGATTGTCATTGCTACAATGGCTCTTCATAACTACATACAGAGGTATTTTGAACGTGATCGTCATTTTGATGACCCCATGGACTATTGTGAAGAGAGCAATAGTAGTGATGATGATGATGAAGAATACCAAAATTATCAAGTTGAAGGATCCCATGAGATAGAAGC